TTTTCCTTTTTCTACAGTCGCAGTTACACATGTCTATTTTTTAGTCTTAAAAGATCTTTATTACAGCGTAGAGTAAAAATTTAGTTGAAATCGCGACCAAATTATAAGCTCTTTAAACCTTTTACTACACGAACTTAGTGACGTGTGGTTTATTGTTATGAATGCCGAACACTGTGTTTGGTATCCATATTCAGATTCAGGAAACCCAAATATTACTCCAATAAATATTCATGATGCAGTTCTCAAGGTTGCATTGCGACTGGTAAATTATAATATTCAGAATATTATATTGACAAGAAGTCTACACATTTCTAAACCAATCTCTTAACAAGAAATCTGGTTACATACGATTAAGGGGTTTAAAATGAACCTCTTATATTTACAGAGTGACTTAAAGCAAACCACTTCGAATTGAATTTATCCCCTATAAGAGAGGGTAACCTTAAAAGACGAATAATCTGACCGTCCATTAAATTTAAGGGCCACTTCAGTCAAGGGTCCAACTGAACTATAACGTAATATTTTGAGTCGTCTGGAGTTTGACGTTATTAAACATTACAGAAGATTGTTTTCTTTGTTTTGCTCAGGCATTTACTGAAGTTGAGAATGTCTTGAATAATAGATTGATTATTTTGGGTTTAAGCAATGGGTTCATCATGTCTTGCACAAGATTTGCATAAAACCTAGTGATTCCGAAAAAATCACTAATATAATAACACTATTAATTATGCGCCGTCATCGTAAGCGTGGTATGACCCTGCTAAGATATCATACACATAATGAAATGTAAAAATTTATGCAGCAGAAAGACGTCATGCGTAAATGAATCACGCCTTTTGATGTGACCAAGAGTAATCTACATTTGCCAGTTCTTCTCAATAAATATCTCTAAAATGCTACAATGCCACCGATTATGTTGATCCCTGTGTACAGTTGTATGGGCAGTATGAGCCTTAATTCGGAGTTCCACTAAACACAGGCCTGATACGAATTTTCATTTACATTTACCTTACCATAACTATACATGCATCCGTAATAGGTAACACGTCACACATTGATGATTATAATTAATTGTGCATTGTCATTTTGGCAAGATTATGACTGCTATTTAGGCAATATAAAGTTTATTACAAAGTGCATTTCTTGGCGCCGAGTTAGAATCTGCTGAAAACTGGTTAAAATTATATTTCAGATTAGCTATTTATGCCATCTTGTGTGAGATAAAGGTTATGTCATTCGAAGGGTAATAAACTTTCTTGAACTGCCTACTCAAGGTTACAGACAACGGTAGTTTTACCAGTGGTGACAATTTGCGGTATTCTGGTAACACAGAGAACAACACTCTAAAATACTACACGGAGAACGAAGATAATAAGGAGGGTAATCTATGGGTCTAAATCTTTTTTTTATTTTTTATGAATGAGCCCTCTGGACGGCTTAAATTAAGAATTTTATACATCTCAGGTATTTGGTACAACTTACTGGTGGAGTGGTTTTCGCAATTCGTTTTTCAACACAGAATATCAAAGAAAAAAGTTGGTGCATTCATCCCTGCTCCATCTTGGATTGGAACGTGTGATCTAAATGTACGTATCAGCCGTTGTTGGTCTCTTGGGTTGTTTACAACAATTGTTAACACTTGCGTTCAGACGGACGGATCTCTCGAGCCTACACATTTTCACAGAATATATTTTCTTTATCTGCGTTTCTTTAAACTAAATTAATTTGTTTCTACCATGTTATTCGAAAATAGTAACTTACAGTTCCTCAGTTCTTACAAGGAATCCAACACTTTTCACTTCAGAACAAAACAAAGCCAGCAATCATACCTCAAAACACGATGCCACGTCTTCCTAAACACCTTACACATCTTTCTAGGAAATGCGCACTGCAAAAAGGCAATGGAAGTTTTAATAGTAGGTACAGCAGTTTTCTTTAAACTCAAATGAAGGTTTACACACAACACTCCTTTTCTAGTATTGTAAGTACAGCTTTAAATTATGGTATACCATGAAGTACCGATATAAATTTGAAGGAGGGTAGTTGAAATATATAAATCATAAAAATAAATAATTTTAGTGAGTCATTTAAAAGGCTTTATGGTGATGTGGGGGGCGGGGGGCTTTCCATAATTCTGATATTTAAAAATCAGACAAAGTAAAATCTTTACTGAAGGTACAGGATGTTTCATAATGTTTTTACTTCAATGTGGAAGTAAGAAATGTGATGAGAGAAAGCTTAAAACTTACAGCAATACAGCATAAAAATAACAGAATGTACTAAACTTCCAGACCTTCTTTGGCACAGCTTGAGGACCCCTGGTTGATAAATACCGATTTATGGCACTTAATGGTAAAATACTAAGTAAGTTGCCAGTTTAAATGTGTTTATACCGATAACTTCAAGGACTTTACAGACCGTTATTAGTTCCCAACAAACGCAATTTTCCAGGACTATGACCACGCCTTACGAATGCCAAATTTTACCAAATTCCAGTCTCTAAGTGGTTGTTATAGGGTTTGCGTGTAAGCTAGGTAATAATTTAAAATTTAAAAAAATCAGTATGCATATATTGTACACTAATTTTAGTAACTTATACAGAGTGATCGAAAAGTAACCCAAGCCATATTAGCTTAAAAAGATATTGATGGTTGCAATTCAATTCGATTGGGTTAAATAAACACACAATGCCAATTTAAAGGCTGTAAATCACTCGCTATGATGATGATAATGATGGTGATGTCAATGTGACAATACAAGGCCCACGCAGGATACATCATGTTGTAACCTGCACGCGCCAGTCCGCCGGTCGAAGTGCAAAAATGTCTTCCACAAGTAGAACGAGTGTTCCTTGAATTAAAATTCAATGTAATTTATTTTTGACAAACTGAACATACGTTAGGAATGTTTTCCACGACTTTTAGATCACTCTGTACATTTCATGATTCACATAACTCACTTTGCATCACGTGCTGCATTACCTCTGCCTGTCTCCTTTCCATGGTTTGACAATGTTCTCTCAGCTTCTGCCCTGTATCTGGACTTCCACTATTTCAACACTATACATGAAATTCACATACTGTTAATCATAATTATCAAGAAAAATGAACCACAATGCTCCCAGACATCTCAAAAATGTTGTAGAAATTGAAAATTTTGAGAGAAAAGTTTCACGAAGCGCCATTTTACACAATGTCTTACATTTGTACTGGACCTGCCACCTATGTGCGACAGAAGTAACTATTAGTAATAATTATGACGCTTGAGGTCGCCAGATACTGGGATACTGGGACGACCTGTTCTTCAAGTGCCTGAGCACTGCGGGTCCCAACTTTTCGTTGGCTTATCTATAGACATTTTGGTAGGGCTCCTTGGACGACGGATCGGCCCGTCGCAAGGCGAGGTCGCTAGAAGGATTCTTTAACTTCAGCTTTCGGGTAGAAGCCGCCCGATAGCTAAAATACACATTAAATTCCAGCCCCGAAAACGAACGTATAAGAATTAGGATTATTTTTGACAAAGACGTCAAATATGAAATCGTTATTAATTCAGAATATCAGTTTTTGACCTATTATACATCACTGCCCCAACGAAATTTGTTATGCAGTTCTTGAACAATAAAAGTATTGATGTACCGAAAATAATTGGACGGAAGCTGGAGTGATTTTGTCAATTTAATTATTCTGCTAATTTTTCACACCATGTTAAGGGCTGGGATGGAACCAAGATTTTCAGATAAATGTATTTCAAGATTCTGCATAAACCAATGTGAACAATTTCATTGATTAAGAACAAAGAAATTTTAGAAGCAGGCGGTTGAGTATAAAAAAATTAAACTGTTGAAAACACCCGTACGATACACTGAAATGCGTTCAACAGTTATTCTGTAAACCACTGTTTCCCAAACTTTTTCCTTCATTACCCAAAACCGCTTATCAGAGAGTCCTTTTTACCCAACGTAGATAAAACACTAACTACACAGAAAACATATATGAGAAGTGAAGAGAGATCGGTAAAGGAATAGGAAGGAATCAATATGTTTGATGCAATGTCTTTATTTTAAACATCTCTAAACACTTTAGCAGCCGCAACAAATTTAATAATTATTATTCACCATGAATATTTCATCACCCAGGTCCCGGCTAATGAGTACAATGCCACTGCTCCATCCGCAAAATTAGAAGCAATTGGGGACAGAGCACACCTCACATCGTATTCGGGGTTCAGCAAACAGTTTCGTTTTGTGCTCTTTATAAAGGCAAGAGTGGAAAATCCTACTTCTCACATGTAGGTGCTCGGAAATTGCAATAATTGCATCACGGCCTCCCCAGCTACCACAGGATATTCATCGTAAAGTGTTAACCAGAAAGACTCCAAAAGGTCCTTTTTTTTTACAATTAACATTTTGCACTGACTGCTTGACCTAAGCTCCATCATTTACTCTGCAAAACCATTAACACTATCGGGGATTTCAGTCAAGCCACACAGAAATGGGTGTGTCGTTACCCAAAGAAAAACCACTTTAACCTATTTTTGGGTAATTTACTCAGGTTTGGGAAGCACTAATGTAAACCATAAGCCAGTAACTAGCAGAACCTGACTACAAACTTTCTTTTTGTTCCATATCGGTTGTTAGGATTCCTCCTTTTGTAAGGTTGTAATAGTAGTTTTCTAGTAGCTTTTTCTAATTGATAAAAAGCGCAATTATCGAACGTCCCGGCCAAATTGTGTAGAAGGTTTATCCTTAATAATCTTATTGGTGGTTTTTGTTTGAGAAATCCCGGATTCAAATCTAGGTTGTATTGACTCAGGTTTAAATTTGTTTTCGTCAGTTCTCCAGACAGTACTTTAATCAGGCGTTGACCTCTTATAGTTCATATCGTTCAAAATATAATTATCTTTTTTCATGATTAAACCACAATACAATATATTTAATTATTTTTAATACGCAAGTTTAAAAATAAATTATTGCACATGTATGTAGTTAGGATTGAAGGTGTTGAACATAGGTCTTGAGATTACAGTCACCATCATAAAACCAAGAGCTGAGCCCCTGCTTGGACAAACCTTGCCGTAATATATGCGTGCGCTACTAGGTCAACAACTAGTAGCATATCTTCACGGAGTTACGGTGTTTGGTTTATGAAGCCATGTTAGTTAGTACATAGTAAGGAAGATAACATGTCAGTAAGGTAGGCGGGCGTCTTACGTAACAGTCATCTCCGCTACTGAATAACAGACTCATTCTTTTGATTTTTAATAGTTTTGTTCACTTCAGCCTGCAATTAAATACGGCGTTGAAACCAAATCAAAACAATTCGATTTATATGCCATACTAAAACAATTTTCTCTTCTCATTCGACATTTTTTACGTATCTCAAGTAATATTTTAATTATTTCCAGCTGATAGTGTCGCCACAAAAACAAAAAGAGAATATTGCCCTACATAACAGTGTGTACATATTAGGTTTGTCGGGTTATGTTTTGTTTCGCGTGGTTGTTTGTGTCGGTGCTTTGTATTTTATTGTGAAGTGTCTGAAGCCCAGAGACTGCAACTTCATTTCACTATGACATTAAGTGAAGAAGCAGAACATGAATCTCTCCTGGACTCAAATTCTAAATATCAGAAATCATCTTACAATTCTGTTACTTACGTAAGTAAAATTGGATATTTTTTTTACAGCGTATTTACTCGCGCGCATTCCTCGTAAAGAGTTTGAATATGTCAATAGAACTGTTTTCTTATTCAGTTGTGTGCATCCGTTACAGAACAGTTGGTCCAGCCATACTGTCCAAGAAATAAGATGTTCAAACGAGAAAAATATACAGTCATTAATTTAGCCCGTTAATTTCAAAACGCTCAGTTAAAAACGTCGGAGAATGAAGAGGCCCGGAAGTGAATAAGGATTAGAAAAGACATTTGTCTTTTCAAATGTAGATGATTCTGATTTAGTTGCTATGATTTATTTAGATATGGAATTTATTGCCAGTAAAAATGTTTCAAAGATGTAGAGGTTTGTTTAGGATTAGAGAATGTCCACTGATTCCTTTTTGACAAACATTTGTGTTTGTAGTTCAGAAAAACATACCAAGGAGTAGAAGAATTGAAACGAGGGAATGAGGGATGCAAAGCCAAAAATTCTCACACTAGGCTTCAAAACGAAAACTCGGCTTCTAATTTGTTATGCAGATACACAGTACATACGAACACTGAATGTTACATACATTTTTTTTGTAATTGTGCCTTCATGTAAACTAATTACTGGAGTAGTGCATTTCTATCACAGAGAAACAGGCAAACACTTCTGACTTTGACGACCACCATTCAAACACTGGAAACATTTCAGTGGAAAGTAATTGCTATATTAGGTTATTTAATGAAGTACAACCCGAGTATAGGACAGGCTTCAGTGCTGATGGTATTTTGACCCCGGGAGCAATTTCCATAGGCTTGTTCTGACGTAAGACAAGGCGCATGATAAGAGCTTCATCGTGTTTGTCTTCGCATCTGTATGCTCTCGTACCTTAGGTTTTCTTCCGGACTCGTTGTCTATGAACTGTGAGGAGACCATCTAATGAAATAGAAAACTTTGTATGCCGTCCTATGTTATTGAAATAAGCAGATGGTAATATGCATATGTAAACAGAAAATGACAACTTATTATACGAAACTAAAAATTATCCACCAGTATTGCTGGAAAAAAATAATGTTTTCTTAAAACACATTTTATTGAATAAGTCTAACAAAGCAGCATATAACAATTACTCTTCTTTTCTCCATTGACGAAATAGTTCTGCTGTCTTCACTATTCTTCATACGTTACACATGTGGTAAACGTGACTGGATGGACCTTTTCTTTCTGATCCTTACAAGAGTCCATCCGCAGTTACTATTCTGTCTGCCTATTTATTAATTGGACTCTTGACTGTGTTAATTACCGAATAAAGATAAATTTCTTAATTATACTATAAACGTGTACCACTGGGCTTGTGCATTTTACAGGAGCGTGAGCCGAAATGCTCCCATGATAAGGGCTGCGAGTCAGTGATCTGCATGAACAGCCTCCCTAGCAATGGCGGTGATGCAAACGTTAGTAACCCTTTGGGAATTCCCGGTGTCGCCATAGATCAAATGGCCTATACGTGGCGAAACATCAACGTTCAGACTTCAGGCTTGAAGCTGAGAAGACGTGGGATCTGGTGTCGACGAGGCGGGTCCACAGCCGATCAACATGGGAAACAGATCCTCAAAGACGGTGATCTGCTTTTATTCCTGTTCTTTGGTTTTCAAAATCAAAATCTTCGGCATTTATGGATAATCGTTATATTTCTCAGACCCTCCAGGAAAATACTTTGACAGTACAACTAATTAATTCCAGACAGCTTCCTTCCATATATTTTAAAATTCATTATTTATAAATCATCCTGTTATACGACGCTATACAGTCCGAGCTATGATAGCGTCGTTAAATAACAGATATTTATGGGAAAGACTCAAATAACTGACACACTGCTACCTTACAGCTACACTGGCAAGATACAGTTTGTTTTGTTAGTCTTCTGTGCTTCTAGCTAAACGAATTTGTTTGCGACGACAGTGAGTGGAATAGCGCGTCCAGGAGAGCTGCTTGCCATCATGGGATCCAGCGGAGCCGGGAAAACGACCCTCCTAAACACTCTGATGTTCCGTTCGCCGCCCAATCTCCAGGTGAGTGGACAGAGGGCTCTGAACGGCATCCCCGTCAGTTCCAGCACCCTGACCAGCTTGTCGGCCTACGTACAGCAGGATGACCTGTTCGTCGGGACCCTCACAGTACGAGAGCACCTCGTATTCCAGGTAAAAAATAACTGTTAGTGAATGTTGGAGGCCCTGTAATTTTATTATGATCCATAGAACTGGGGTGAGAAATTATTGTTACTGTTGAGCTGGGTGGAGCCTTTTCGAAGTAACTGCTACTCGGAAAAACTCACAAAGACATTGTACTTCAAAAACTGTTAAAAAATTTATAATTATTTGTTTTGATTAAACATAATTTATAAATATATTAAAAGATGAAAATTACATTAATTTATTGGGATGCTGTACCACAAACTCTGTTGCTTTGACAGGAATCAAATCTAATCTGAAATGAGCTCCACTCAACTCTTAAATTGCCCAATTTAGGTATAATAAATACCGTAGTAAATAATGTACGTGTAAGTGTGCGTACTAAGACTCCGAAACTTACGTTTCCACAAAAACTAGATTTCATTGCGATTACAACATATTTTCTATAATACGCACAAGGAAGTAAACATTAGTAGAAGCCAGTGTTACGAAGTCGCGGGTCGGACTGAATTTATTTTTCAACAGTGTGCAATTGTTTTTCGTGTCTGCTCTAGGCGCTATGGAGTTCCCACAATAATTTGTTCTTTTAAAAATGTTCGTACATCGCCTATAAAGTTTTAAGGCTTGCGGAACAGTTTTTCACACTTTGTATTTATTTCAGGCTCTAGTGAGGATGGACAGAAACATTCCGTACAGAAATAGAATGTCTCGGGTAGAAGAAGTTATTTCAGAGGTAAGATACAATATAAAGGTACCACACCATGCAGGTGTGTAGGGGAGTGGATGTTAAGCTCGACGCATACTGTATCTAGGAACTAGGAGGGGTGAGTTGTCAGCTTCACGTTCCAGCCGCTTTGTGATTAGAGAAACAACAGTCCGTACTCACTGAGTAGGTAGTAGTTGGTGTATCTCAGGGCCGGTCTTTTCGCGATGGCGAAGAGAAAAATCCTTGTTTTGTATGAGTCGAATTTTTTTTAAACTTGGCATATTAAAAAGTACTGTTATCGAGTGAACAGCTGAGGTTCCTGCTTCCATTGACACCACATCTTAAACCTGAAAACGTGTTCTTCTCACAAATTTGTTTTTTAAAAAAGTAATCAACAGCAAGAAATAAACTTGCAAATTAAGGAAGAAAGAATATTTTATAGAGGATGTAGGAAAATGTTCGAACCTAAGAATGATCAAATAACTGAACTGTGCAAGATAGGGGTAATCACGATTACTTTGTGATTAATGTAGGTAATTAGTTTTCGTGATTGTGGGATCAAAGAAGTTACAATATGAAGGGGACCATAAGAAATGCGTACAAAATCTGTTGAGAAACGTTTACTTGAAGAGAAAGACTAACTTGGGAAGACAAAATCAAGACAATTCTAAAGAAAAATGTGAGGATGGGCGGTGGATGGAAGTACTGTAGTACTCGTGTCTAATGGGGATGTTGGTATTTGCTACGTTAAATGTTGTCAGTCTGTAGACGATTATTTTTGAAAGATACTTATTATATCAGTGATCTGCTAACTGTGTTATTACTATACACTAATATTATGTCTTACAGCTTGCCCTGAACAGATGTCAGCACACTGTAATAGGAGTTCCAGGAAGAATCAAGGGTATTTCAGGAGGGGAAATGAAGAGGTTGTCATTTGCATCTGAGGTATGAGAAACAGAGGCTGGACATCATGAATTACACCAAGTTTAACAGACACAATAGAAACAAGGAGCAATAAAGTACTGAAATTCATATTCACGTAACGTAAATTAACCCTCCTGACCACCATAATTTACTTTCTCTACTGCAATAAAGTTAATTATTGATAATGAATAAAAAAAATATATTTAATCTGAGAACCATACAAAGTTCGTAAGTAGTCCACGCCCTGTGGGTGAAATGTTGATTTAGTGAACGTTTGAGTTGGTTGCAGGCCTACGTTTATATCCTACCACGTTTCAAATAGTCAAACGTAATGCAATGCAAATCATAATTTAGACAAAATTAATGCAAATTAAGTTGTTGCATGTTGTTTTGTGGCCACCGGCTTCTCGTCGCAGAAGTCCTGATCCAGTTTCTGAGCAGTCCATTTGGAATTTCTTGTGGACGATATGACACTAGGGCAATTCTTCCCTTGGTATTTGGGATTTACCCTATTGATATTGTGACCCCATAAAGACAGTTTAGAGGTTGAAAATCAGGCTTTATACCGATTTAGATGGAATACAAATTATAGTTCCAAGTTTTCCTTCAATAATGTGTGTGGTTCGGTTAACAGGTGCTGACTAACCCACCACTCATGTTCTGCGACGAGCCAACCTCTGGCCTGGATTCGTTCATGGCACAAAACGTGGTGTTGGTGTTGAAGAATATGGCACTCAAGAGTAAGACAGTGGTGGTCACTATCCACCAACCCTCTTCTGAAATCTTCGCTATGTTTGATAAGGTACTGTTGATGGCTGATGGACGTGTAGCCTTCTTGGGGTCTTCAGACGATGCCTGCAATTTCTTCAGAGAGTAAGATATTACTTTTTAGTATTTCATATTTCCTTTCCAATGTCTGAAGTTAATAGAAGACTTTTTAGGCAAAGAAAGTTAACATTTTATCTGATTATAACTCCAGGTTCGAATTCTCTAGTGGTATAGATATTCTGTTAACATTTCACTGTAAAGCACGCTCACTCACGGAACTAAGTGCATGGCAAAGAAAACTGTATGAAATATCTTAATTTACACCAGATGTCAAATTAGAACATGTAGTATATATAACGAGACTTAAAAAATATTTTATAAATGCAGAAGATATAAAAATAAAATCTGGGCCAGATAAGCGAAATAATTGTAAATACTTTAAAATTATACCATTCAGATAAGGGTTAATCATAGAATAAATATATAAACAGGAAGTTACTTATTATTATTCTGAGTTCCTTTTCCGGAAGACAAACACTTTCAGTCAAAAAGCTGAATGTTATTGTGAAATGGTCGGTGCTTTTGTTTCGTATTTTGGAGGAAAGCCGTCCTGAATAAGGTTATTTGTATTTTATAGCAGACTTTCAGGAAAGAGTTGTGCATGAACATTAAATAGGCCACTACCTGGTTCTTTAACATTCTTCTTAGTGCACTGGAGTTTAGAAAGCGTCGCACTGTGTACTAGTAATAAAGAAACAGTCCAATTACAAATTAACGTGCTCTGCCATGTATTTGTATTGCCGCGTCTTAGGTTGGGCGCAGTGTGTCCCAGTAATTACAACCCAGCAGACTTCTTCATCCAGATGCTCGCAGTTGTACCCACTCGGGAGGAAACCAGCAGGCAGACAATCGACATGGTGTGTGACGCCTTCCAGACGTCAGAGGCAGGGCGGAGAATTATCGCGGAAGCTGGCGAGGTAACAACAGCACCTTGCCCTATGGTGGTCACCGGTTGTAACAAGTAGTGACCCCATATTTTGCCCACAGAATGTATTTTTAGGTTTAATATGATTTTATGAATAGAACCTGAATTTCTAAATATTATTATCCTTAATAGACAGACAAACAACTAGATACATTCCTATCATTTTTAACTCTGGCGACAGTAAGTAAAATCATCATTATAAGAGATTACACCTGCTGTTTGAACGATTACGCTCTGCTGCCGATTGCAGGTATCAGGCGGATTGTCAGGAGCGGGAGGCTCTAAGAGCTTTTCTCAAGTCGTGGACCACCAGCGCTCCCCGTACAAGGCGTCATGGTGGGCGCAGCTGCGGGCTGTTTTATGGCGCTCTTGGATTAGCATCATAAAGGAGCCTCTCCTCATCAAAGTGCGGATTCTTCAGACGCTGGTAAGTCCAGTCTGGACATTAACGAACATGCAAGAGGCTGTTCCACTGTGCACAAACATCCTCGCTCTGAGTTTACAGGAAATAGAGTGTTTATGGAATTGGACAGATCTAATTCAGTCTTAAAATATGTACATGCGTGGTATTGTAGATGGTGTCCGTGGTGATTGGCGTGATTTACTATGGTCAGGAATTGAACCAGGACGGTGTCATCAACATCAACGGAGCTCTCTTCATTTTCCTCACCAACATGACATTCCAGAATGTATTTGCTGTCATCAATGTAAGTAAGCTAATTAACCACTCGCCGTTGGCATGGTGCATTTTAGTATTCTGAAGGGTTAGACGTTACAGTTTTATAAATTTTTAATGTATTTTATGCCTAATTTATTCACATTCTCAATGAGATTAGCTTTATCCAATGGATCCAACTGATTACATTGTATATTTTCACCTATGTCGAAATCAGAAGCAGCTACCAAAAACGATGTGCGTATTTTAAACTAACAGATGGAGGAAGATCAGTCATTTTAAAACTATTGTTGTTTTAATGTGCTTAAAATGAACCGTGGCTTCTGCAGGTGTTCTGCGCCGAGATGCCGGTGTTTCTGCGGGAGCATTTCAACGGCATGTATCGTGTGGACGTGTACTTCTTGTGTAAGACCCTGGCCGAAGTTCCCGTGTTCGCCGCCCTGCCCATCATGTTCACCTGCATCACCTACTACCTGGTGGGTCTTAACCCCAGTTTCCTGCGTTTCTTTGTCGCAAACATTGTCGTCACGCTGGTAGCCAATGTCGCCGTATCATTGGGTAAGTTGAATAATCTTAAAAATGTACGCACTGTGTGATAGAGGCAGCAAGTACCTCTGAAACGCCGGTAAACAGCCACATCAACTATGTCACTGTTCTGGCAGTGGAACGGTTGGGTTATTCGGCTATTTGATGATGATGTGTATTCATCGTTGCACAAAATATTTATTTATTTAGCGTTAAATTACATGGCAGTGTGAATAGAAGGTATGGAAATGAAGCAATAGTGGCCTATTTTAAAACAATATTTTAACGTTATTTAGGAAACGCATTACTCCAGTCAGGATTCGAAATGAGTGTCTTGTGAACTGAAGTTAGTTGCGTTACCGCTGATTCAGTCTGATCGATAAGAAAGTATCTCAAAGGAAGACATTAGAAAACTGAGAAGTATGCTGTTGAAAGGTGATACGTTGTAAAGAAAGGGTAACTTTATCCTGTAGGTCACTTAGTGTCGCTGACCATGTTACGTAACACTGGTAACATTACCTTAAGTTCTGCAGAATCGGGTAAATAACACTGCATTGCTCAAACCACATCAGTTCACTTTACACGACTAAGACACCAGGCTTATGGCTGTCTGTACATGAATGAGGTTGGGTTTCCTCAGAACCTGAGTCTCTATGATGAAGTTACGAAGGTTTTTGACAGTGTTCAACACTACGCTGGTCAGAATATATTGCCGTAGTGATCAAAGTTCTAGCTTTGTGTTCAGAATGTTCCGGGGTTCAATTCACGGCCCATAGGCTGACTATTCGACTGAGGTTAATGTTTTTCAGTACTTCCACAAAAGGTATAAAATAGGGCATTTTAGTAGGTCACGACAGCTACAATCCGCATTCTTCTCTTCACAGTTAATCTGAACACAGTTTACACTCTCGTTTCATATTTCTCATTATCTCACACCTAATTTAATATTGGATGTAATTAAACTCTGTTTACCGAACCAAATGATACAATTTCTTGCAGGTTACCTCATCTCCTGTGTCAGTACCAGCGTTTCCATGGCAATGGCAATAGGTCCGCCGGTAATCATTCCGTTCCTGCTCTTCGGAGGTTTCTTCCTGAACAGCAGGTACCGAATGACCATCCCAGGTTTATCGTGTAAGACTATGAGAACTGTAACTTTATTTAAAATGTGTGGCGGTGACAGCAGTGGTCCCATCCCTGGTGCTTTGGAAATTTCTCACGCCTGTATTTTCAGGGACGGCTCCGGAATCTGGAAGGTTTCCTCCGGTGGAATAGCGCTCTGTCTGAGCGTGATGAGATCGAGGAACGCGCGCAGCTTTACAGCCATGACACCAGAAAGTGTAAAAAGTTTAGGTTGGTGTGGCGCGTAAAGACGGGGTAATTTGCATCAACATTTAGTATGGGAGTGAAATAAGACCGGCCGCGTTTTTAGAAGCAATCGTTTCTCTACTGAACGCATATTAAAACAGATCTTTCTGATCATTTGTATATACATAATAAGCACCTCGACAAGAGCTAAACGATTTTACAATAAATTGATATTTCGTGGGGTGGGGGTTACTAATATTGACGAAACATTAAAATTTTGGTGAAAATATTACAAAAATAACGGCCGTTTTACATGAGAACCTAAATGCGTTTCTACATTTCCACGTGGGGAAACAACAACTGCTGGGATAATTTCTGGTTATTCAGAAGGATCAAAGCTCCAAGAAGCGTGAGGGCTGTACAGCTAGGGAATTCCCGGAAATTCAAAAAGATCAATGGCCAAAAGCCAAATTATGGTCGCCCTTCGACAAAAACCCAGAATTCTTTCCTTACTTGCCTAAGTTTTAAATTTTGCGTTCCTGAATTTAGGTATACTTATTCTGACTTTACCCATTCAACATTCGTTTCTACTGTTTCACTAGTGTTCATATGCGAAATGATATGTCAAGAATTCTGACATTTTGATCACCAGTGGTCTTGTTATTTGTTAACAGCTCGGTGCCGGCTTACTTCAAGTGGCTGAGTTACTTATCTTGGTTTAAGTACGGTCACGAGGCACTCCTCATTAACCAGTGGTCAGACGTGCAGCACATTGAGTGCACACACTCCAACACGACGTGCCCCAGGAATGGACTCGTGGTCCTTGAGGCCTTGAATTTCAAAAAGGTAAGACACATCACTGATAAATGCACATAAATTATACAATTCTAATTTTATAAATTATTTCGTTCTGATGAGGGAAGCAGTAAGCACCTCTGAAACGTCAGCAAACTTCTACCAGACGACACGGGGCAACATCCCAAAGACAGCTATCTTTATATTTGCCCTAGTAAGATCCTGAAATCTTACCAATATATGTATTTAATTCCATATTGTATTTTGAATTTTTATTTTTAACATCAGATGCCGTCTTCTCTCTCAACAGGAGCATTTCTTACCGGATCTCGTCAGTTTGGTGTCTCTCATACTTATCTTCCGGTTGTTTGCCTTCTTTGCGCTGCTGTGGAAAACTTTCCGCAAGGAATAAGCTCTTTTCCAAGTGAAACATATTTTCTGCAAAGCCGTTTTGAAACGGAGTGAACAGAAAAAAAATGTCTAAAATATATAATTATATCGAATCAGAAACGTTTATTAAAATAGTTGATATCTGCTAATTATTCTTTATTTTATCGCCTTTGGAGGCCTGTCTGTACCTTACTCTTCTCCTTCCACAGTTTTCATTTCCTCTATGAACAGAATTTGGGCATCTTGTATAAATATGGGCCTACGTACAAAAAACACCGACACCTAACTGTTTCGCGAACTAGACCGTAATCTATGATTTATAATTTAATGCTTAAGAAAGAATCTGTAGAGGCCTAATTTAATGTACTATATATAGGATATTCATGAATGCCTTAATCACTTTACCATAAGTAGCCAACGAAGAGAACTGACAACTTGATATTCAACATAATAACGAGGCATGGAAACCACAGGATGACAGTATAAGTTTACTGATAGCTCAAATTACTCTTTCAAGTTCTGAATTTGTCATTGCTGGTGACACATCGAGGGAATGGCGTTTCGGTATGTTGTGTAGGGTGGAGGGACTTGTAAGGTTTCTCAGTTTTGCCCACAGAAGAGGTTTCACTACTTACGTAATGGAAACATGATTCAGGCAGTGGATAGAGACTGCTCGTGGATATCGCATCTCTTGTGTTTCTAGCTAGTTTGGAACTTGTAAGTTGGCTATAAATTGCTTTGTTTAATAACAGTGAGGTCTGACGGAGTACTGCTGCATCTCAAGTAAGTTAATTACGATAATGTTCCAGGACGTAGGCTTATGCTGTGGCTGAATGACAAGGATTAATGTAACATGTTTACGTTGTTTTTAGTACAATTTCGAGGCGGAATTTTTGTAAGTGTACCACAGATCAGTTACAAGGCGTGATGCTTTGCAAGTGATGATGACATTCACAATCTTACATTTCAGACAGCACGATGTTTCTAATTATCGAATTTTGTAACAAAAATATAGGAATCATGATAGTTAGATGACCGGAATTCGATTTTTGGCAGGGGCAAAGCTTTTATTCTTGCTACCACGTCTAGACTGGCTCTTGAGCTCGCCCAGAATCCCCTCAATGGATAACGGGGATATTTTCTTGGTAGCAAAGCGGCCGTATCTTAAAACTCCCCGTCTTCTGGTATTTAGGTTAAGAACACATGGATCCTTACCTTCACTTCCGATGTTTGTTACTGGGGTGTGTTTTAGCATAGGGATATGATAAATAAGACATGCAGCATTCGCATGGGGAAACATAAATGTCTTACAAGTTTGGTTGAAAACTCTCAGTATAACAAACCAATCAGGATACCTAGACGCAGATAAAACATTATTGCAATAGGCCTGACAGGGATGTAGTGTGAAGTGGTGAAATGGTTTGAACGAGAACAGGATAAAGTCCAGTTGAGGTATTGATGATGAATTTTCGGGTTCAATAAAAACAGGTGATTTCTTAGGCGTCTGAATAGCATTTCTGCTCACCGAGTTGGTTAATAACAGAACAACGTTTGAGTTGAACTTGTGTTTGTGACAGAATTTCTGTGGCTTATGGCTACTGACATAGTGAGAGAAGAGGGGCGTTGTTACGGAAAATGGGATCCTTCGGAGCACGGGGCCACTCTCACCTGGAGAGACGTGAGTGTCTACACGATCGTGAAGGAAACCGTCGGTTTCTGCAGAAGAACCAAACCAACCTACAAGAGAATAGTCAACAATGGTATCTACTGGAATAGATTTAAAGTCTTTAATACAATATTATGCAATTTAATACCAAAGCAATTTATTTTGATGGCGGTGGTGTTGTTATTGAGAATATTAGAAACACTATAATGCGATTCTTGTAGAACTTATGATGGAAAAATAAGAACTTAGGAAGGGATTTCTCAGTCTTCGTGCTTTTACACTCTCCACTGATACTGATCAAGAAGTGCATTATCACGACCCTCTGACTCGAGAGATGGTATCCAAATTATATTTTTCAAGTAATAAATTGCAGGATGTATACAGTTGTGTGTCTGGTGACAATCTCAGTGAAGTAGAAGGAAATAAGACCGAGGAGAAGTTTTGCAGGTCATCGCGTAACGCCATTAGTCGATGCAGCCAAAGATGCTGTTCTGTTATATCTACCTATGTACTTATGAAACATGTTTATTTTTTGAATTCACATTCAAATAAATGCCAGTTATGTTGTCACTTTAGAGACGCAGAATCACACGTGAGTAGTTGTATGGTAAACTGCAACTTATGAAACAGTCAAGTCGCAAAGCAACACAAATAGTGTTTAACATATTCACAATAATATTCTTGCAGAGATTCAAACCTAGGACTCACCAGTTAGTCTTTGACGTATACAATATTAACTTAAATTTTAAATTTTATTTCTTATAACGGCGATAGGATACACATAGCAACTAAAAAAGAAGACCGTCAAATTAAAGAAGTTCAACATATTTCAGAGAAATACAGAGAAATATCTTGTACAAATTTAAGTAAGTGAAATTGTGAATTTAGTGCCATAATGAATAAATTAATCGAAATTTTCCCACCGTAAGATCTGAGTCAACAATTAATGTACAACAATAAGTCGCATTCTCTTATGCAATTAAAACTGTACTTTTATGTTTATAGTTACAGGAGCAGTGAAGCCTGGGAGTTTGGTAGCCCTGATGGGGGGTAGTGGAGCTGGAAAGAGTACTCTCATGGCAGCCCTGGCATATAGGAATCCAGGTAGACACACGCGCAATTACCAGTTTCTTAGATTTCCAATTGTTTGTTTATGGAGTACAGTGTGTTTGCGTTACTCTCAGTTGGTGTGGTTGTTGACGGAGATATAAGGGTGAATGGAAGGCCCCTGGGTGATTACATGCACCGTCTGTCGGGGTTCATGCACCAGCAAGACTTGTTCGTCAGCAGCCTCACCGTCCAGGAGCACCTCAACTTTATGGTAAGAGTTTCTCCCCTGAAAGGATGGAAGTCCATTTTGCTTCTGTTGTCAGTTTGTGATTACACACGCGTAAATTTTTGTTCATTTGTAAGCCGTAACTTTAGGGGTTTTTGTTATTATACATTTATAAAATATTTGTCATCTATCTCTCCAAGGATCAGATGGTCGGAGCTTTAAGCTGACCACTTGCTTCAATGCCACGGTTAAAAATGCACAGGGCTTTCCTTCAGCCAGGACACTCCTTATACTAATTGAAGTATTCTGTGGTGTTTATCTGTCTCCCCAAACAAATGACGGGATAATATGTGGAATTGTGTCACGACCACTTCCTTTCACATAATTTAAAATCCTATTCGTCAATCATCTTGCCATTCGACGCTATATCATCCGAGCTACTGATAGCATCTTTAAATAAATCATCAATAAAAGCATGGCATTTTACTTAATTCTGCTTTCACGATTTACTGGCATGGTGTTTACCTTAGTTCCTCTCTAAAAGCTAAGATTAAAATACATAATGTTTATTATAAACATTGTTTTACATTACTGCTAAATTGTGAAATTGGATTAGAAATGTGAATTATTTTAATACAGCTGCGTAGGCAGAGTATCTTATCCTAAGTACTTGAACTAAGTGAATGAAGACAATTGAACAATGAAGACTTATTAAATTACAATTTTGCCCTAACACTGAAGAAACATCTTTGTCCATTGGCGAGGTTAGGAACATGTGGAAATTTACCGCCACGCCCCGATAAGACTTAATTGCGTGTTACTTAATAATTACGTTTGTTAGAATGCTTAAGATTAGATTACACACAAAACGTAAATACACGATACTGATATGGAATGTTAGTGGAAACTTTCGGAAAAATTAAGTAATTTTGAAGACCAAATGGCAAATAGGAATACCACAAAAAGTTGTGATTAAGAAACAGAGGAAAGAAACAGGAATAACTAAATAGTTTGTACTAATTATTGATCATGTAGACATCAAAAAATAATAAGATAATTATGAGTTGAGAAAACCGCTACACTGATATTTTTATATATTGTTTCGGTCTCGTATAGAAGTGTACACACATCAAAACCTGGGTTAAAATGTGAACCGGGAGATCAAAATTCCTAGAAGATGGACATGGGTCCCAACGGTTACAATGTGAACATTAGGATGTTAGCAGTATGGAACTGTTATTAACACAAACAGAAATAAACTTTGCTTTCTTCAATACGGCAAGGACCTGGTTTCCATAAGAGAAAACACTTTTTAACAAAACGTGAATTTCAATACTCAAGCCTAACACAGAAAATCGCGGTTTACTGATTATCACTGCTGCTTCATGTTTGTAAGGTCCCAGAATCAAATCTTGGTTCGGATATGACTGAAGGTTTCGCGGTCTTCCTCAGCCCCTTCGAACAAATGTCTTGATGGAAGACCTATCTCAAAATGGACCACGACAGTTTCCTTTCACATATTTGTCAATTAATCAGTCACAAATCATTTTAAGCCTAATATTCGAGACTACATACAGGTACAGTTTAAACAGCGTGGTTAAATAAACTACGGAGAGAGCTTTTAGCGAAGTACCTCAGGTGTAAGTATGGGTTTTCTTTGCAGGCGCGACTCAAACTAGACAGAAGGACATCGAACTTAGAACGTCAGGGCATAGTATCCGACCTGCTGGTGCAGTTGGGGCTTAATGATAATGCCAGCACTCTGATAGGAGCAACCGGACAGGACAAAGTATTGTCTGGGGGAGAGAGGAAGAGGTTGTCTTTCGCTACCGAGGTACAAATTACACACATAGCTGATCAATACAAGGCTCAGGCGAGTTTGTAGCTGAACATTGCCTAAATAATATTTAATAATTCAGTCCGTACCTCACATGAAATGCAACACTTCTCCATAACAAAGATCGAAGCCAGTAAATGGGAAAAAGAAGAGTTGTGGACTGTTAAAGTAGGTGATGCATATACTTACCACTTGACTTTAAAGAGTTAATTTCACACCTTCAGTAATTTCCGCTATGACAAATATAATTTAGCTTTGTACAAACTTTAAATTTTATTTTCATTTTATCTTTAGTCTTTCTGTTACGTGTTCATTTCATGCCACTTAGACCACCAATTCTATCAAAGTTATCTATAATTCTTCCCAATTTCTCTAAACTCTTAAACGATATTATTGACAAATATTTTCATTAAGTTTCACACGTGCTCCAATATGTTTTTATCAATTCGTGTACATTCAGTTAAGAGTTAAATTTCTCAGTTCTGCCGCGTATATTTTATTCTTGTCTCTGCCGACATAGCAGTGTTTCTTTACAATATTTCAGCATTTTTTTTAAAAAAAGTTCGACATATTCAGTCATGTACATTTGGATATTGTATTCCGGAAGGGTGTCTAACATTTTTCATTCTTACGTATAAATGTCTTTATTTCAGTTTTTTCTCACTTTTCCAGCCTATTAAATTTACAAGATGTCATTGCTAAGAACACAATATTATACCGGAAGAGAAGTAAAATTGTTTATGCTTTTACTAAATGGTCAAACAATGTTCTCTTTAACTGTCGATGTTGGTCTTCTGGATCGTAACACCTCTATTTTTAGCCCTGAAGATGGAGGCAGTATATTTATTCGAAACGTTGGTTTCTACCTGCAAGTCTACACGTCGTTACGACGCAAATGACCGACATGGACATCTTCTGTTCAGCTACTCACGGACCCTCCCTTGCTGTTCTGCGACGAGCCCACGACGGGATTGGACTCGTTTTCGGCACACAAACTCGTGGAGAAGATGAAGCAGATGGCGTATCAGGGGAGAACTATCCTGTGCACCATACACCAGCCTTCCTCCGACGTCTTCAACATGTTTCATGAGCTCATACTGATAGCGGATGGACGAATCGCCTTCACTGGCGATACAAAGACAGCTCTTGAGTTCTTCAGCAAGTAAGTTGTACAACGAGATGAGAACGATTCAGAACGCTTTCAGGACGATTCGTCTACATTATTTTGATCGTCATACACTTTTTATCCACGGACATTCCTTACGCTTTTCACGTCCACAACTATGCATACATTTTACCTTACAATCAGCTGTTCTTTGTCCACAGATATTTCATCACGTATTTTACGGAATATATCCATTGCTCTTGTACACGTGACGTGAAATTTAGTTTAGATTCTGACGGACTTTGCTTCATAGAGCTACGTTTTGTTCCTTTCAGACATGGTTATGACTGCCCGGAAAAGCACAGTCCTGCAGATTTCTTCATCCGTACGCTGGCGATGACTCCGGGTTCGGAAGACGCAAGCCGTCAGGCTGTGAAAAGGCTGTGTGACGAGTTCGTGGTGAGTGACACGGCGCGAGAAGTGGAACTAACGGTGCAGTTCCAAGAGCATGTGGGGTCCACCTACGAGGTACTGCCACTGGTTGCAAAGATTAACAGTCCCGCTTCGTATTCATATGATCAGAGTTCGAATATCGCCTGAGATATCGCGTACCTTGACTGTAGTTCGTCGTGGTGCTCATTAGTTTCTATAGGCAAATGATTCAGTTTGTCGTGGGTTCGCAATCCTGCAAATCGGAGTTAGTATCTCTTTCAGATATCTAGTTTTAAAAAACGATCACAATAACTGCCGCTCAATGTTAGAATCTAAAATACTTCGTATTTTATTACATTATTATTTTTATAGGCTTTGCAAATTGGTATTTTTAATAAAAGTAATCACCAATTGTAATTTTTGTAACATATTTTCTGTTTCAAAATATTTTCGAATTGACACTTTTGAAGACGTTCTTTTCTTTGTATAGACACCGGAATGCATATCAACAAACCGTTAATGCAAAAGACAAAATCTGTTTAATTTTCATTGTAATTTAAATTGAAGACTTTATTTTTGTTCTGTATAGATATATTTATTTTTTCAGCACTTCGGCGACGTAAGAGAACAAAACTTGTAAGTACTTAACATTTTATGTAAGAAATACTCCATAAGCATAATTTTTAGAATTTTATTTATCGGCACTCCCTTATTTAATCAAAAGCTCATATAAATTTCACAGAAACCCATAATTCTTTAATGTATGAATGCTTTACTTAATTTAATATCAAATTGGTTCTAAAATATTGTTTGTGAATTGTGAGTGCATTCTTCTGATTCAAGACAAGGACCATTGACACGTTCCTGTGTACACGGTAATGACCTCTTATATTGGATAGGTGTTTTTGGTTCATTATAAAACTAAATAATGTTAAAGAAAATGATAATATAAATAATAATAATTATAAAAATTTGTTTCAGCAAAGCTCCGTTTTGGTGTGACAAATTGCAGTTGCTGACGCATCGTTATTTTCTACACGTTCTTCGGGATCCTTCAATTCAGTTTCTGAAAATTTTGCAGAAAATAGTATGTATCAAAAAGATAAATGTTTAATTTTAAAACCCCGAAGTACTTTAAAATAATTGCTTCAAAGTAATTTTTAACAATACGTAACGTGTCAAATTTTCACTGCACTATAACTATTTAAAGAATTGTGTGATTTCGGGACAATGGCATTTTTTATGCAAATAATAGTATTACCATCATCGTGGATGCTAGAACGAGCACAGATAATATGTTAAAAGTCGCTGTGGAATCCACAAGCCTACAACAATTTCACTAACCTCATATTTTTGGAATAATTTATATAAATTTATGTAATATTTCTCAAATATTATTAGGAACATAAATCAAAGAGGATGAGATGGGAATACAGCATACATTGGATTTGGGGGTGGGGGGAAACACCGAGAGAAGAGACCACTTGGAAGAGCTCGGGGTAGAAACCAAATAATATTGAGATGGTTTTGGTTAACAAAATACGGCGGGAATGTGTGGATTAGATTTGTCTGACTCAATATAGAATCAGGAGCGGGTTCTTGTCAATACGGTAATCAACCTACAAGATTCTCGAAAAAGATTACGATCTGTGGAGATTGCTGCCACTTCTCTTCTTTGGATCTCGGAATGTAATTTGCTAGTGATCCTAGGAACACTCATTTAAAGATCTTCAGATTTCTGTTATTTTCGATTTTGTTATCCAGTCTTGGTTTTTTTTTTTTTTAATTTTGAATATCCTTAAGAGTGAGAATGTGTCTGCAGACTATTGCCGTCATGGTGGGTCTCTGTTATGCCGGCACTGTGCGGGAGACCCAGGCCGGGGTGCAGTCTGTACAGGGCGCCCTCTTCATCTTCGTGACAGAGAACACATTCACTCCCATGTACTCGGTGCTGGCCCTTTTCCCTCTGGAACTACCGCTTTTCATGAGGGAATATCGCAACGGGCTCTACAGCACCCATATCTACTACCTATCAAAGATGGCTGCCATGGTGAGCAATTACCAAGCTAATAATACACTGTAAGATTTGAGGTGTTCACAGCTGTGAGTATAAAGATTTCTGTCTTCTGGGTTGTTGAAAGATATACACTCCTTTAATATCATCAAACAAGCTACAATATGGAATTTAAGTAATATACCTGTGTTAATAAATTTAATTATAACTGTACTGGAAGGTAAGATTAAAGACAGTTGTTCCGTTGTTTACATTGCTTCTGATTACCACAGACGAGTGGTTAGCACACTTGATCCCGAGCAGAAGCAACTGAAGAATGAAAGGTTGATTTCTATAGAATGCACTAAAGTCTGTTATGATTGCAGCTTCCTGGGTTGATTGTTGATCCGCTACTGTTCGTGATCGTTGCTTATTGGCTTACTGGACTACGAGGCACACTATACGCTTTCTTAATGACGGTCTTTATTACAATCCTGACGGTGAATGTGGCCACGGCCTGTGGTAAGAAATCGTCTTTTTGTTTAGAATCAGAACTAAATAACTTAATTTATAGCTGATTACAAGTTCGAAAATCTGAGCAGTATAGCTCGGCGGTAACGCGTCCATTGTAATTGGTAGGCTGGAATCCTTGTTGGTGCATTGACCATGCTGGCTAAATTATTAATAATTTTTCTCATTACTTCAAGTGAATTCCCGGGCAGTAATGCGACGTAGACTTGCCCCTTCGTTTCTAGTACACAGTAATTAACTACTGTCTCCTATCATTATGTGCATAATATATGCAGCTGATAAAAATCTTTGTTAATAACTACAAATAAACACAATTTGGAAGTATTAACCTTGATACGTACCATAACACAGAATATTTTTTAAAATAATATCCGTTTAAAGTCAGTCTAAGTATACGGTTCTCGAGCTTGTTCAGGTGTTTCAGTGAGATGTTCTTGTTCTGCGGGCTTTTTTTAATAAAGTGCTTTTGTGAACACTGTGATGAAGGCAAAGAAGGGTAAAAGTAAAGTTGTTCATGGTGCTTAACTTGAGCATCGCATCATGCAGACGTAAGTGACATAGCTCTGGGCGTTCTTAACCTTGGCACTAGATGAACGTGAATAGTTAGCTTTGCGCTTCAACTCTTTTACCCCCAAGGAAAGAACCCTGGTATAAATTGGGTAGGAGACTGTGTGGTCTCCAGAACCAGTCTGAACGTTGTGGCGAGAGAAAAATCCTGCTCTACCGGGAATCGCCAACCAGAATGTAGCCAAATCTCTTGAAGACTACGGCAAAGTCATTAATTTTGTACCCGCCTTTTCAAGAAATCCAAGTGGTTTGCTATAAATGCATTGTGATAAAATCAAGTGTTAAAATAATTGACATTATTCACGTGAATTTACAGGTTGTTTCTTCTCGAATGCCTTCGATTCCGTGTCTATCGCAATGGCGTATTTGGTTCCATTTGATTATGTTCTGATGGTCACGTCCGGACTTTTTATCAAGCTGAGGTATGTATGAAGCAATCTGTATAACGTGAAGTAAGTACCAGTAGGCTTATATTGTGTAATTAAAATTCAGTTTGAGATGTTGAGGGATTAATGTCCACTTCCTCTTACACAGAGGAGGCAATCAGAAAGTAATAATTACTAAATCAATAACTCATTTATGTAAATGGATTTATACTCATTTAGGTTTACAACTTCACTACAAGGAGCAGTCTTTATCGAGAACCTAATATTAAGCACACACTAAGCTAGTCAAGAAATTCCCCCTCTTTTGTGGGATCTGTAGGTTCATTAGTGTGTTCACAACAGCCTGTAACTGGCTCCTATCCCGAGCCAGATAAATTCAGTGAAATTCGGGATACGTGGTGTTGAAAACTGTGTACAGAAATTGGCCACACAAAATTATACAGTTAGCTTGTTATTAACTTGTAGGTTACGTGAGCCTCACCATACTATCGGGCACGAATGGTATCGAGTGCAATGTGGTGTCAGGAAATGTCCATTGTGAACATAGCTATTGTAATTCTGCACGCAAGAGGAAACAGTTGTTGCGATGAATAGAAAATTAAAAACGTTCGGGGTAATTTCAAAACCCACGACGAGACTGGCGAGAAAAATGATAGACTCGAGTTGAGTCAACAGCTAGGTCCCGTCGGGAAATGTGCCCCACTTTCTCGGTCTGAAGGTCACACTGGACAGATTGTGTCGTGTAAGTAACATATCAATGTTGACACGTTGCAGCACTCTGCCATATTACGTCAGCTGGACCAAGAACCTGTCCTGGCTAATGTACTCCAACGAGGCTATGTCCGTAGTACAGTGGGCGGATGTTGGCAATATCAGTGAGTATGAGATTTCCCAGTATAAGTAAAGCATTAGATCACACTTATAGGGGGCAACAGTTACAAAAGTGCCCCTTCACCAGACCTGGAGACCCGTCTACATTCCTGAAGACTCGAAAACAAATAGGCTGCCCTATCACAATCGATACTGTTGAGAACCGTCCCCTGAAGAAGTCTGATTGAGCAGATCTAAAAATCCACGTATCTCTCTGCATTAGTTCGAGATGGTTAGTCAACTTTACGTTCTGGGTACGCACTGGACAGGAGGCTGGATGTACTTCACAGTCGATTCGGACGCTGTGACAAAGAGCGTCTGATGGGAATCAAACCACTGACGTTCAGCCAGTAGCCGCCCTAAGATATCCTGACTCATCATTTTCTTCGGTATGGGTGTGAAACTTCGGCTGTTTCTCTGACGGCAACCTTATGTATTGATAAACCATCGAATTTCATAAATGTAGAGAATGTTTGACCTGGGAGAGTTTGTGCCCTTGAGTTAAGTAGTTATTTTCTGTGTAGACTGTATGTACAGTAGTGTGTGACAAACATATTTTGAGTCAGTGACAGGCAGTCCGTTGAACGTCTGACATAAAGTATTTTTAATGCATGGTTTTCTTTTTAGCATGCGAAATGCAAAGTCCAGACCTGCCATGTTTGAAGGATGGATCAGAAGTCCTGGACAGATACAGCTTCTCAACAGAAAATTTGTGGAGGGATGTTATTGCTATGGCAACTTTATGTTTTCTTTTTCATCTTTTCGGATACTTATGTCTAAGTTCCCGAGTGAGAAACTCTTGATTGTCTATTGATTTATCTGTAAGATAAAATAAATGGATGTTAAATGTAGACTGTTTCCGAGATCTGAGGTCCCACAACTGTGAAAATGTCCATGGTGGTATTCTGGGTTGTGACGCCCTGTAGTCTTGTAGGTGGGTACTAAAGTTTAGGAGAAACGTATTGCCTCAATATTTTATTCGGCGTGAGAACCCAGAAGACCACCATGGAAGAATGTTATTATCTCACTTTAGGACACCAGGCCAAGTATTCTGCTGCTGCTGACTATTCGGTTATTTTTTGCCGATATAAATCGGTATTAAATTCATGTAATTTTACTCATTCCATAGTGTAACTTACATAAATCTGAATTTAGTGCTTATTAAATAGTTCAGTGACTGCTGCTTTTAAATATCAGAACTTGACACTACATATTACTTTTCCTGATCTTTTACATTAACGTTACAGGAAAAAAATTTCTTGAAGCCAATTAATTTTTGTTTATTCGACACGTCTGCTTAAATCAAAACTATGAATCTTTTGGTTGTTAAAAATTACTGCACCGTAAGTAATGTGATTTTCACATGCCATGTCATATGCGTTATATAATTTATCATATTCATTTTATTTGTACGCTGCAAATATGTCATAAGAAAATTGGAGATTTCAATTAATTAAAATATGTTTTATTACTTTAGTGAACGGATAAAAGAATGTCTGGTTTTCAAAAGCATTTGTAATATTATTTGGCATATTTTCGTCGTGATTTATCAATTGATATTACCACACTTGTAAGTAGGTATATTATTCGTTAAAAGATGGCGGGACCACATATAGAATGCAGTCATTATGTATCATTGGTGTGCCCATTCAATGCCAACTTAACAGGACGAAATGCACTATAAGTTATATAAGACAGCTTGAAGCTAAGGTGAAGGAGGAGGGTAGGACAGACACAACATAAAATTGCCCAAATTCTTTTCAGCTTAACGATTAATTTGGACCAACAAATAAGAAACAATAACCAAGTTTATTCAATTAAATTCTTCAGTTCAAGTCTTTATTTATTTATTTACTTACTGATTTAACAGCATTAAGGTCTGAAGATTGCTGTCTTCTGAGTTGTTGCGCCGTGTAGTCTGGTAGATGTCCACCAACGTTACAAAGGTCATGCTGGCTCCGTCATCATAATGACGGAGGCAGCATGACCTCTGAAACGTTGGTAGACATCTACCAGACTACAAGGCGCAACAATCTAGAAGACAGCAATCTTATAATATTCTCTTATATAGTTTATAAATGACAGTGAATTAGAAACGATACATTGTAACTTAAATAGCTAACCTGATCATTTTTTGCCAAAGAAATGTTCCAAACCAGGGACCGTCAACCATTTCATTACCGTGGGCCACACTGGTTGATTATATTCTTGTTGAGAGCTGCAGAAGAAAATTAATAATTTAGTGGATAGAGCGAAACAACAATTTTGTTCAATTAAAATATTTTTTTGAGAATGTTTACTCTCACGCTTAAATAACGTGTATATGTATATAAATTTTCTACAGTAGCAGAAAATTTTTGCCCTTCTCGCGTTAACAAATTCCCAAATTATGAGATGGGCAGCTTGAAAAGGTAGTGAGAACTACCTGCGACCCGCGGGCCGCAGTGTCTAGACCCGTTCTAAACTAAACGTTCTGTGGTTGGGAGCACTGGTTGATATCCGCCATGTTGCTATTTCCTAGACGTATGCGAGGTTGTGAATTAGTTTGTGCGTTATAGAATTAGTGTTACTTACATAAAATATGGGTGTTGTTACAAAGTTCAGAGGCTGCAAGAAATATTTTAGAAGCGATTTATGTAAAAATTGTGCACGATGAGAACAATAACATTTGACAGGTAGTTGCAGTAAAGCCGCGAATAGGTGAGTCATGAAGGTACAAATAATGCAAGTGCAAGTACTAACCGGATAGTGTTGTAGCTGTGTCATCATCTGCTCTGTAAGGTATCTGTAGTGCAGGATAAGCAATTTTCTTGTTACGTATTTTTCTTTCACACTCTTTAAGAAGTGTATCACGTTTCAAAATATTTACATTTTGGGCGGGCAGTGATGATTCTGACTTGGTGGCTCACCTGTATATAAACAGGTTTTCCAGGAGTTGAATGCCACTCACTATTTCTACGATTGTTAGAGACTAGTATTGTTGTTGCTTATATTTCGTAGATGCACACATGTCAAACATGTTAAGACACGTGATTTTCGTGTTATTGATTTAAATTACTTTACGATTCACATATTTTAGAAACAACGTTTTATTGACAGCGTTTCGTAATTATCTAAAATGTCCGTGTTTGACATGAAATGTATTACTATCGGGCAAGGCAAGTGCAATTCAAAAGCAGTTTTTTAATTTGAAGTGTCAGATCAGTAGTGAATTAAATATGACAGTGGTATTTGTAATCAGAATTATACATATCTGCTATATAAATATTGTAGACAGTAACAGAATTATGTTTTCGTCATTCTGTTGATGTTATGACTTTTTATATCATTTTGTATATCGGTGTCTTTTGTACATGCAGAAATATTTGCTTTTGTTGTACTGCAAGTGTGACTAGTTAAAAATTTTAATGTAAATATCTAATCACTTTACAGGAAAAGATATATTTTGACTAGTTAGATTATGACTAGTTTCACTAAGTTTATTACAGTGAATTATTTTAGGATTGATACATAAAACCAAAAACCATGAAAAGATAGGGAATTAAGTGTGCTTCAAAGAGTACACATTTCCATTATTCTTGTTATATATATGTAATAATAAAAGTTTGCTGTACATTTCAGAAACAGTTTCTAGACATGGGAGTACCTGAATCACTTTACATTGAAAAATTGAATTTTGTTTTCTCTGTCTTAGTACTTACCCTTTGCATTTATTGTCTGAAATAAAACTGAAAATTGTCTAGTACATTAAATTTTCTTCTGTTTTGTAACAGAAATATGAACAGTATGTACTCATCTTTATTTGTCAAACAGAAAGTACCAATAATTTTATTTTTACAGGAATTAAGTATGACACCTTGACTTCAAATTTTCAGTGTGTTCAAGTATAAGAAATAGATTATGTCCATAATTTACTTTAGACAATGGACATTTATTTTCAGTTATACGTAAATGTAATAAAGAAGCCAGTTTTTAACATGATAAGAGTGGTATGATCAGCAGAATTTGAACAACAAATTGAGTGCCACTACACTTTGTACATGTGATAAGGTCCTCCAGCATAGACTTTGACCTCTGTTAGTATCCTAATTTTCCAGTTAAGGGAGGAATGAAGTCATGATACATTGCACATTATGTGTTGTAAACTTGAAAATAGCCATCCTATTTAGGCTGTTGTCAGTTATTTCATGCAGTAACTTATTATTTATGCTAATTGTGAGATTAAGTATATAGACATTGTTTCTGATTAGCATGTGCTCTGCAGTGTGGATTTTTGTTACTTGCTGGAGAAATTTGAAAGAGTCGGCAAGTAGGCTAAGTTGTTTGTCTATCTAGGAACTTCTTTATTATGTGCTTGCCTGTTGTAAGTGAAAGACTTGTTTTTGTTTTATTCTCATTTTATTGTGTATTTTCAGTTGACAGGTATTTATCTTTACTGATATTTTGTAATAGAAATGCATATGAGTGATTCTTTCTGAGATACTTATGTTGCTAAGAATGATTGGATGAATATCTATGCAGAATGAAATAAAACTACAAATGCTCCCTGTTAATAACACAGGTTGCATAATAACTACATTTGTACATGAGTGGAAGTAGTGGCTCTTTGAGCTTGAATTTTTGTTGCTGTGCGAGTATAGTTCAGAAGCTGGTATAAAATAGGATATTACCATACAGCATTAGTACTCGGCAATTAAATTTCTTTTATGATAGTTCTTTTGTAGTGATTATATTTTTTGCTGTTATCAGTGAGGTATAATGTAAGATATTTGCACTGATTCATTGAAGTCATTGACTCTTCATAGCTCTTGCTTAGTTTGCTTGACCTCACCATTACATGTACTGATAATTTTCAAACATGTTAATTATATAAAATGATAAATGAGGTTATAAATGGGACAGATGTGTGTCCCTATGTTTTACAGTGTTACTGCACCGCTATTTAAACTGTCCTTCTTGATTTACAGTGTGAAAACTGTTGCTTTTACTTACACAAGTAGAGATGTATTTTATTTTTGTAGCAGAACAGTGTCTCATAGTGACTTTACATGAGCTACACTGTTTTTTGCATTAAGGGAAAATAAACATGTTTCATTTTAAGTGTGACACAGAAAAGTGCTGTATATAGTATGTTTATTTTTATGTATGTATCTACGTGTGTGACTTGGTTTTTGGTTGTTTTTATGGAGCACCAAGGAAGGTGAGATGATTATGGTGCTGCCAGCATTTGCAAATTACATGAAAATACATCGTGTAGTTGGAATAATCTTCTTTTCCTGTGGCATACATAAAAACTATTTTTGCATTCATGAAGGAATGTATTCAGGACCTTTTCACATTTCTAAATTTCACACAGATTTAAAGTGAAAATATAGTTGACACTGATAATTTATTCCAGGAGAGAACAGGCCAAGACAACCATTGTGGCTGTGGGATGGCTGACAATGGGAGTCAGCAAAGTGGGGGCAGTGGCAACAAATGTCAGCAAGTGCAAGATGGACAACCTTCTGCCAGATCAAAGGTAAGGCCATGAAAATTGTCTTGGGTGTAGCTGATAAGAAGTCAGCATGAACATAATGTTTCAACTAATTTAGCCAGATGTTTATTTTATTTCCGTGACCGGCAACGCCCAGCGGATGCTCCGGTGTTAGTGAGAGTAGTAACTCTACACAATTTATGCTCAAATCTGATTCAGATGCCACCTAGCAGTGAAACAGGTGACTTGGGTGAGAAATGGCTGCAGAAATTTTGCTGACGAAACATCTCGTATCATGCTCGGCAGTACTTCCCCTCCAGTCCTGTTACTCTCACAGCGAACCAGTGCTCTAACTTTTTGCATATTGTTAGGGTATTTGCTATTTCTGTGTTGTTTTACCTGCCATTGTATCTTCCAAGTACTTGTCAGGGTCACTGTTATAAGCAGGCATACATTCATATGTGGTCTGCATATTTGTCTTTCTGTACTGTTATGAGTGTGTGTGTGTGTGTATTTATTATATTGTCTGTGCTTCTAAAGAATGTAGAAATAAATTGTTGTTTCATCAGTAATATCCTTTTATGGAAATGAAGAATTGGTATAAATATTTCTTACCTTTAAAATTCAATTTGTATGTAATACATTAATTTCTTTCTTTTTTCCTATTGTGTTTCTTGAAACAAAATATTGATGTAACAGTACTCTGTTTATTTGGAAGCTTGTATGACTGTCTTTACCTTGTGGCGAAACTAATCTTTCAGTAGCATTGAAGGGATTAATCCTCATCAGTGATGTTTGTTTGTTTGTTATACTATTATAGTTTCTTATGTTGTGTTTATGTTTCTAATTCTACTTTATTGCTGTGAAGATGAGGCCTTGAAATATAGACTTCTTGCATCTGGGGATGTGAACATCGTCTGTAAACTTGCATCATGTATGTGAGCCAAAATTGTTAACAAGGTGAACTGTAAAATAAGCAAACAAACTATTAACACTATAAAATACACTAGTGCCATGCATTTCAACCTCAAGAGGTCATCATCAGTGGCAACAGGGAAATTAATTCATTTAACCAAAATGGTTTAGAAAACAAATAATGAAGCAGAGTATTTTACTAAAGCATATCAAGCAACACTACACTGGATGTTGGTATTCACAGGAGTTAATTTCCCTGATCTTTTTGTAGTGTTAATAGTTTGTATGCTTATTTTATATTCTAATACACTACAGAGTATGCAAAGTTTTAAGGTGAACTGTGTTGGCATCTGTTCTTTTGAAGCAATTGCACATTATACATTATCTGTCATTGCCAGCAGTTCTTCACAGTCATACGCTGGAGAAATTGCAAGGCTTTAATAACAGTCAGTTGTTGAAGGAATATAACATACAGATTGTCTTGTGTTAAAATAAAATTTATCAAAAAGATTAGTATATATATATACCCCATGATTTATGTCTACTGCTGTATGTCATATGAGTTTGGCCTGAAATATTGTTTAGTTAGGATGGATTAAAATTATAAGTGCTTTCATATGAAGGTAAATAAAAATAAAGGAAGTTTTGTTATTAATTTTGGTAAAATGGTAAGCACACAGCAGTTACAAACGTTTCCTGCGAACTACCCTGGTTTTTGTGAATTTGTTTCAGTAAATCACAATTTCCCTGAGTCTGTCTTGGAATATATCACATGCAGTCAGCCCCAAAATTGCACAATGTAGTTGAAGGCAGTATGTTCCTCTGGAACATTGGTAACCATCTAGAACACTACAGCATGTCACAAGACAGAGGATCATGATCTGATCTCTCAGAACCAGAAAGTCAGTCTCCCACTGTGAAAAGTTGAGCCTCTGTAGTCTGTGTCTTGTGTTTAAAATGTGTTTTCATGTTCATTTGTTTATCTTTGTTACCAAGCGAAATCAGTTGTGCTGGCATGTCTTGGCCAAGGAAAGTGGGTAAAGTGTCCAGTCATAGTGTGTTGATTAGATTTAGCAGTCTGAGTTGTAGGCTACATTCCAAACTTTGTTTTTTTAAATGTCGTGTTGAAATCTTTTCATCTCGAAACATAATAGCAGGTCATTGAATTTTTTACTGCATGAATGAGGATGGCGATCTTCCTCAGATCTTTATGTCAGTAGATGAAAGACTTTTTGGATGCGTAGTAGATGAAAATTGTTCTTGTATCCAAAGATGCTTCATATTTGACCTGTTGAGATTGGAAGTTAGATTGATGTAGTTCATTGTCAGTCTGGCTTGTGGAGACTATAGTCGCATCATTTGCTTATTTCTTTTGTATGTTGTGAAGAACACTCACTGTAGCATGGTGTGTCCTCAGATTGTGAGGAAAAGGATTCCACATGTGGAGGGTAGATGTAAATATGTTGAATAAGCTATCTCATACAGCTGACAAGATGCCCCTCCCCTCCCCAAGTATGCATGTTATGAAATGTTCCACAGGACCTTGGACTTGGATGGAAGAATTTTTTCATAATACTGTGCAGGCTCACATGCTTCGTAGTGATCTTATTTTGCATAGACACACATGACTGATCATAAGCAGAGATTTCGCTAGAAGCACGGTCTTTGGATATATTCTGACAGTAATTGAAGATTTAAAAAGTAGGGACTCCAATAACGAGTGTGGGCCTACTCAGAAAGGATATCCTTGTTTACGTATTGCCGAAACGTCTTCTAGCATCGATACCTACCTGCTGCGAGCAGTTTTGGAGAACATGCTTCCACAGCGTTTTGAGCATGATAGCACGTTGACCAGGCTTGGTATTTGGATATGTTTCACGAATTTACATGCGAGGTTTTATTACTGATTTTTATGATTCGGAGTTATATTTCGTCGTCTTTAGACATGTCTTCTTGGTATAACTCTGATGAGAATCCGAAGGGACATGCGTGGGACTGCCATGCGTGTGTCGACGGAAAGTCTTGTATTGATTTCAAATCTACCACGCGTCGTTTTAACCCTGGATGCGCTGTACGGTATATGACGTAACAACGCACAGGGAAATTGAATGCAACACCCTTATTGCACTACATTATTTAAAGCAGCTCGGTGGTTATAGGGACCTACACAATGATTCTGAGTTTCAAGCAGCCCTCCTATAAAAACATTTGGAAATTTGACGTCATTGCCCGTTTTAAAGTAGATGAGTTTCCCTCCTACCGAAAGCGGAAGGTTACTTTGACTAATAAGTTTCGTATTTGGAACATCGATCAGTCAGCTGCCAAGATTATAGTGATTGATACACGCACACTGAATAGAATATGTAAATATAGTTTTATTAGTATTGATATATTTATTGTATCGTATGTTATTTACTGATAGTAATAGGTGATTGTGTACACAAACACACGGTGTATGTAAACCTTGTGTGAACCAGAGTCGCACAGTAAGTAAAGTGGACTGAGCTGGATGACAAGGATTCGATTTCCAATAGGAGCAGGATGTTTCCCGTTATCATCACAGTTTTGGGGCCACTCAGCTTTCTGTCCGGGATGAAGCTGACCACTCATCTTTGTCTAGCGCCGATGAGAATGCGTGAATCTATGCCTCACAGTTTTATACACCATGGTTCTTTTGTATTAGATTCCATTTATAATCGATATAGGAATGTGTTAGGAAGTAATTTGCAGAATATACTGCTCTTGACTATCTGTCATTGCTTTATTAGCCCCGATGTTAGATTATTTTCATTGTTGGTGAGTGAAACGTGATTTATTATTATCTTTATGCACTGTTACTGGTGGTTCAACGCTGCTTATAATCTGCAATACAATAGCTTTCTCCTCCACCCCGGTCTCCTTTTACGTGAAGTTTCCTATTGTTTGTGCTGCTCTGCATTTTAACACACTGGTTTTAGTTTATTTGTACCGAGTAAAAGTTTTAACAGCATATGATTAAGTGGAATACGGAAATGATGCGGTTTCACTGTTACAAAGATAATATTTACAAGTAGGTGTTTGATACAAATGACATGCTGGTGTAAATTACTTCCTCGTTATTTTCGAACCACATGTTCCCTAGTTAACCTATATATGGACGCTTCTGTTTGTATTTTATTGTTGCTATCATTAAAACGCGAGGTATTCTAATTATGTGTCCCTGTTTCCGGTTGTTTTGATACGTATTGAGAAAAAGGAGCACATTGTATGGAAGTAGCGTTGTCCGTGAGACCGGTGCTATTACAAGTCTTGTTCCTCGAGAATCCAAGTACGAAGTACTTCTTGGTCTTGTATCGGTTTCTTGCAGAAACTACATGACTAGTATTGTTCCGATTTACATGTATTTGCTGTACTACATGACTGGCTAAGGATTAAAGTACTGGTATTCGACTCCTAGCGGGGGCAGGCATTTGTATCTTCACTACTGCATCCAAATTGGTTCTGGAGCCAGCCAGTTTAGTGTGCACCAGAAGCTTTTTCTTTTATCGGGGGAGCAGTGCGGTTAGAGCATAAAGTTGACCACTCACCTCAGTTTAGTGCAGAGGTTAAGAATGCGTGGAGCTGTACCTCCACTCATCCATACGATACATAGAACCACTTTATGTTTACTCCAAAATAAATTAACCTATGAAAACGTTGTTTTCTTACATTAGATGTATTTAATTGATTGTAAGTTTTACTGCAAAAAATTGTTAACTGAATTGCATATATATATTAGCCAATTGAGACGACTTTGACGAGGCTTTGTTCAATGAAAAGTCAGTGCAGTGAGATTTATAAACGCGAGATCCAGTAGTCAACCAGTTGTTGCGCCGCATTTTTTGGCATTTGTGTTCTTATGAATCTTTGTCTGTAGGTCTGTACAATAGGTCTGACGAAACAGAGCATTATCATACATTTGGTTGTTAGTTTGGGGCTTCGTCTCTGACCGACAGTTAGTTGGCTGCTCTCGGACTGAAGTTAGTTTTGTATAACGTAGTGCAGACAGTCAGGATCACCACATATTATGTGATCCTACTAGACGAATGAGATGTGGAACAATTGTTGCTAAATAGTTAAATGAAAGAATAATTATAATTGGTTTATTTTTA